AAAAGTTAAAAATGGCCCGACCCCGGAATATCCCTCAAAAAAGTTAAAATTGAAAATGGCGGCCGTAATAAGAGGGTCCGGGAAATCGGTATTTTAAAATGCTCATTCTGTCTCATCATGTGAGGTAGCATTTCCTATGTAATTTTGGTCGTAGATTTCATAAATGAATTCCGCAAGGCCCCTTCTGAGCTTACGTTTCTCTCGGTAGTCGTATGTTTCCTTTAATTTCCTTTATTAAATACATTTATAACATCAAATTTAAGTTTCTTGGCCATAAATACATGAAAATAAAGACACTTCACTTTCCTTGTTCCTTCGGTGAATATTTAAAAAAATGCAACCTCCTGCCTTTCACATTTGGCCGCCATCTTTGATTTGGAGCGCCCCCTTTGGCCGGAGGGCCTTGCGGAATTCATTTATGAAATCTACGACCAAAATTACATAGGAAATGATACCTCACATGATGAGACAGAATGAGCATTTTAAAATACCGATTTCCCGGACCCTCTTATTACGGCCGCCATTTTCAATTTTAACTTTTTTGAGGGATATTCCGGGGTCGGGCCATTTTTAACTTTTAGGAAGTTGTTCAGGGGGACCTACTGATGACGATTACATAGGGAAAGTTTGTTACGCAATTTTTCCCGGTCAAACCGCACTTTCCCCCTACTATTATAGCACGATCCTGCTTCTCGAGTCGTACACTTTTTGGAGGATTGTGCAAAATAGTTGGAACTTTTTTTGAAACTGAGGAAGTTCTGATGACATTTGCATCCTCAACACTTGCCTACAGTTCATTTATACCCTCTTTCGACTTATTTTCGTGAAAAATGAGTCTTTTAAACCTCTACTTAGTAAGACCTCGGAAATTCTGAGGACCAAAAAAATAAATACCGAGTTGAGTTTTTCTGGTTTAATTTGATTTTTATCGGTTACAAAGACGTCCTCCTAGTGTAAAATTTCATCCTCTACAAGTCGAGTTCTTTGACATTTTTCTCGTAAACGCACGATTTCAGCGTAAAATCGAGTTTTTTTGTACGAAATCGAGGTCTAAACCAAAATATCATAATTTCATCACAAAATTGACCTTTGGCACCATTTAATATGATTGAAATTGGCCCAAATTTTGGCAAACATGTTTTTTTACTAAACGTCATCGATTGCCGCCTGGGGAGCGGAACATTTCAGACTTTCATTTTTTTTGACGCACCCTAATGTACCCCTTGTAAAGTGAGATACAAAACATTTCTGGGGCTTAAAAAACGTAGAAAACCCTCTAGAATAGCTGCACAAGAAACCTTGGGAGCTGGACAGTAATTTTCGTATTGGTTACGCAATATGAAGTGCACGATAACAAATTCAAAAGCAAAGCAGTAGAGAAACTGCAAATCAAATTTCAGAAATCAATCAATTTCAAAAAGGAATTTTTTACAGGGAAAAACTATAAATGACATCATTTGTACCGTTGAACCATCATCTGATCTGACTTTAAATTACTCAAGAGTATCCCGTTCAGAGGTTGATTTCCGAACCGCTCGTTGTGTGCATACATTTTTACATTAAATTTTGAAAAGAAAATAAGTGCCGCTAATTTTTAATTCAGACCATGTTCATTTGTCCATTTCCTGTCTAAAGCGAAACAACCAGATTTTCAAGTGTCCATGAAATATAAACGACCTGACCCCAATTAATTTTAGCTGAATAATATACGCTTCTCTCAAAACCGCGAAAACAAAAATCGGGGAAGAAAATCTATAACCTAACCTAATGTAACCCTAAGTAGCGTAGAAACACGATTTATCTCTGTCTCACTGAAACGGTCGGAAAGGTTGAAAAGCTGCGGCAACATGGCACGGAGGCGAGAAAGATCCGGGCGAGAGATCCGGTGGTCTTTGCGCGGGATATTTGAACGGTGCGATTGACCCTGATAATTTTGGGTAGCCGTATCCCCCCTTAAAATTGAGTAACAAAATTTATTTTTGGACTTACAAAACGTTACAAAACACTTACGAAACATTGGCGTTATCGGAATTTATCGATCGCAAAGTGGGGGGGGGGGGCTGACTCCAAAATTTTGGGAGGCCCTATCTCCCCCCTAAAACTTGAGTCACAACATTTTTTTTGGACTTACAAATCCTTTCAATACACTTACAAAACGTTGGTGTTATCGGAATTAATCGATCACAAAGTGGGAAGGCTGGCCCCAAATTGTGGGTAGCTGTATCCTCCCTAAAAATTGAGTTACAAAATTCTCTTTTTGACTTAAAAACGTTACAAAACACTCACAAAATGTTGACGTTGTCAGAATTTATCGATCGCGAAGTGAGGGGGGGGATAACATTTCTCCAGGCCCCCCCCCCTCCAAAAAAAAAAAATGAAGTTATCCATTTGAACCCTTTGGAGTGACTTACAAATTTTTTTTAGGCTTACAAAACGTTACAAAACACTTACAAAACGATAGCATATTTTTCATATTTTGTTGTGGAAGTGGTGGGAGGGGGGCTGGTAAAATGAACCTTTTGTAAAGCTTTTTCTGTCGGGGGGGGGGGGGGCC